TGTGTGTGTGTGTGTGTGTGTGTCTGCCTGTCTGTCTGTCTGTCTTATATCTTTTTTTTTGTACGTTACTGTCTATTAGTGTCTATAGTAGCACCTCTGATCCTCGACACTTATATGACCTTACTGTGTTGCAAGTTGCAAGTGCCGAAAACTCTTATTACAACAATACCTGTAAGTAACCAGTTTTAGGACAATGCCAAAGACTCAGAGCAAATCAAAATGAATTGATTTCCAAATTATGTAACTTGAAGACTTTTGCCAGGAAACAGTTTTGGAGAGAGGGACATCTTGACATACGATGGGTTTTTTTTTTCGGGGGAGGGTGCTTTTGTCTTTGGAGGCGGGCTGCTTTGGTCCTGCTTGTCAGAGTTGAGCTCTGGCAGAGAGGGATGCAGCGTCTCAACTGACAGACGGGGATGCTCGATTAAAAAATGAAATCGATAAGAGTAGGCTTCGGCCACCATCCGGGCAAAATTCAAAAATTTCAACTAACTGAAAATATTTGGTGTGTCCCGCGGGCTCATATGACCTAATGCAGTTGCGAGCACCGTAAAACAAAACAAAACAAAACAAAAAAAATCCACGTCTTCTGCGTGCGAGGGTGAAGCACCTAACCGTAACACCAGAACCAACGACGCTGGTTTGGGTGTGGGAGGCTTCGGTTCTTTAATTCGGCAACAGCCATGACCCACTGATCACCAAGAGCAACTTCTTAACTCATTGAGGACGCGCATTCTGGTTATTCGACAACGCATGAGGAAGCCCTGTTTTGGGGCATAACTTTATCATTCAAACATATTAGCTTTATTGCCTATTGTTTTCGTTGTCTAAAGTTTTAAAATGCATACAATAATTGGCATATTATATATAAATTATGCCAACTCGTGTTTCTAATTTGCGTATGACGGCTCGGAATGTGCTGAAACGTTGCCTTTGATCTGCTGCTAATCAGATGTATGAGTAAGCTTAGTCCTGTAAGAGTCAACAGAGGGAGCTCTTGTGTTCACCGTTCACTCATAAGGTACAGGGTTCGAAACCTGACAAAGACGGAATATTATCTTCTCTTTAAAAAATCTCCTTTCGCCTCCTTTCCTCGCTTTCCTCTAACCATGATCTGTTGTTTACTTTCGTCTCCACTTTCTACCCCCCCCCCCCCCTCCTTGCCCTTTGTTCTGGATTCCTGACTCTTTCTGCTGCCTTTCTATTGATACTAATAGGCTCCTTCTTATTGCTGTCTTTCAGTCACGCCCTTGATCTTATGGTAGGTAAGATCTAACACATAGCCTTCTCGGATTAGGGCGGAAAAATCTCGGAAGTGTCGTTTGCAATTTGGGCACGTTAAAGATCCTTTGGTTGTCCTAAAATCGATAAGAGCAGGCTTCGGCCGCCACACTGGTGAAATTAACAATTCCTACCAAACTGGAAAAAAAGCTTAATGTGCCTTGCGCGATCATATGACTTTATGCAGTTGCGAACGCTGTAAAACACTTTAACCACCCCCAATAAACAACAACAATAACAGCAACAAAAACAACAACAACAACAACAACAAAACAAAACAAAGAAAACCAACAAAAAAACATACCTGTTCTTCGACATAAGTATACAGAGGCACAATATTGCAGACGATCATTAAAAACCAGAAGAGGAACAAAGGCGGGGAGTTGATCCTGCCGCACCGACGCTCAATCTGGACAA